GGGGGGGGGGGTCCAGGGAAGGGGGCTTGGCCGAGGCCCTGGTGGCCCTCAGTCAAGCACAGAGGTATGTGCCTCTGCTTGCTAGCCTCCCACCGGCCCCCGGATGCTGTGCTGGACACCAAACTGCCTGACAGAACCTTCTGGAACTCTTCAGAACCCTCTAGGCCCAGAGGAGCCCTGCCCCGAGGAGGAGGCCACCGTCAGTGGCCATGAATGCCTCATGGGTCAGCCCTGAGAACCATGACAGAGCAGCCCTACTCCTCCCTGCACCCCAAATGCTCCCTGGCCCCAGGACTCTGAGTATTTTCTCAGAGCCCACACAGCCCACCTCCTGGGCCCAGGTCCTCTATCCACCCCGTGCAGGCAGAGCCCCCACTCCCCTAGGTACAGCCCATCTATACCCCTGCCGGACAAGGGGTTCCAGGGAGGGGAGGGCAGATCTGAAGACTGCCCGCCCCACCTCCCCGCACACCAGCATGCCTGTCGCCACACCAAGGGGACACACGTCAGACCTCACCCTGCCGCCCAGTGTGGCCGCTGATGGCCCTCTCCTGAGGACCACCCTCCAGGGACTCCCCAGGGAGGCCGGCCTGAGGCCCTGGGTGCTCACCCGCTACGCCCAACACACAGCTCACCTGGTGCGCAGCGCCTGCCAGGCGGCGTCGATGTCGGCATACAGGTTCTTCTCGGAGGGCTTGCCCGAGCTCACGCCGTAGCCAGAGTAGTCGTAGGAAAAGATGTTGCAGTTGATGCGTGAGCCCAGGCCGATGTAGAAGCTGCTCATCTGGCCCAGGTCCACCGCGTTGCCGTGCGAGAAGAGAACCGTGTACCTGGGGGGGCGGGGCGGGGGGGGCAGGTCAGAGGGCAAGGGAGGCTCCCAGCCGCCCCCGTGGACGAGCACTAATGTGGGAGAGAGGCCGCCTCTGCCACAAAGTGGCCTGGCTCCTCTGGCCATGAGGGCTTCCCCTCCATGAAAGGGGACTGCTGGCCATGGCCTCAGCACAGGGTGGACCCACAGCTCAGCAAGTCAGTGACCGCCACACCTCTATTGCCTGGGGACAGCAGCTCTCTCCTCTGGAACCACTCCTTTTAGAGGGGCTCTGACAGCCCAAGGATGGCATGCACGTGTGCCCGCTGCTTGGAACCTTCCAGAGAATGAGACAGCCGCTGCTGCTCTCGACAGCTGGCCCCCACCCATGCCCCCACAAACGAACCAGATCAATCCCTGTTCACACCATCTCTTCCCCTCCTACAGAACATGACCCCAAAACTCATTTCCGCCCTGCAATGCTGCTGGCCATCAGGACCTGCCCCAGGTCACCCCAACAGGCTGGATCCTGGCCAACGCACTCCTACAGTCTTCTTCCTCCAGCACCCCTGGGCCCCAGCCTAGCTAAAAGGTAAAAGCTTGCCCTTTGAACTCAGATCTGGACTCAGACCCCGCCCGGTCTAAAGGCAGAGACACCTGAAGGGCCCCACCTCTTTCCCCGCTGTCGTACTCAAGGAAGAGCTGTGCCTCTGGGCTTCAAGGACACTCTAAATGAGGAGGCAGACTTGGCCTGAGCCACCTGCCAGGCCTCAAGTGCCCTGGCCCTGAAGCAGATGCCAAGTCCTCACTGAGCACCAAGCACCCAGGAGCGTTTCCCTGGGCAGGTGAGCACGGAGACCCTGAAGCAGGCGGCTCCTTGTCAAGCAGGTGCAATAAGGCCACCCAGGACCCCCCCCCCCAACCAGCCCCAGGGTACTCCTCCGTGACGGGGCTGTAAGGGCCCAGGCAGTCCCACGTGGCCTGCTCTTGGTGGATCCCATTTGCCACCCCTTTGGCAACAAGAATCCCCAGGGCACCTGCGCCGCCTGACGGGCTTTCGCCCCGGCTCCACCCCAGGGGAACGGCCTCTGGCAGGACACCAGGCGCCCGAGGACGGGACACATTCTGCTTCTGCACCGGGAACCTCTCGGGCCTCCCTCCGGGCACTGTCCGGACCCCGTGCCGTCCTTTCGTGACGCTCACCTGGCGCCGGGCGCGCAGCGCACGTACATGCAGGAGACGCGGTTGCCCCGGCTGCTCTTGGTCAGGAAGACCTCGATGGTGTCCAGCTCGCGCTGGCTGTATTGGAAATCAGCACGCTCCATCAGGTGGAGCTTCCAGCGCCCCGGGCTGCCGGCGGAGGCCCGCAGGGTCCCCGAGGGGGCGGCCCCAGCTCCACCGGGCCCCGCCTCGGGCTCGGGCACCAGCGAGTAGGTAGGCTCCGGCGGCAGGAAGGCGAGCTTGGCAGCAATGCGGCCGGGGCAGGGCGGGCAGCAGAAAAGGCAGCAGAGCTCGCTCACTGACAGGCCGTTCATGGCGGGCGCCGGGCCCCAGGGCGGGCCTGGCTTGGCAGGGGAGGGGTGGGGGTGCTCTGAGACGCGGGCAGGGCGGAGGGCAGCCCCCAGCCACTGCCCCAGACGAGAGCCCCCTTAGGAGGCTGCAGCCCAGCCCCATCGTGGTCCAAGCCGAGCCCTCGGGAGCCTCGCAGCCTTGCGTCTCCACGTCCTGCAGAGGGAAATCCTGGGGGGGGGGGGGGGGCGAGAAACGGGGTTCCCTCGGGGTTCCGCTGGGACACGGTGACCCGATCTTGTCTGTACCAAGCCTCTCGGCCTTCCCCGCAGCCCAGTCCACCCTCTCCCACTCAAACTGGTCTACTCTCGGCCCCATGGGCCTGGGGGCCCAGCTCGTCATCCACAGGGACCACGTACCCCCCATATGCCCTTTGTGGGACCCAAAGCTAACCGGACCACCACCTGCTGCACCCTTTCTCAGCATGCAGTCACCAACTCTTGCCAGGTAAGCCCCTCCAGTCAGCCCAGCCTCGGCCAGCAGGCTGTACTGGGCAACGAGACCCCTGGCTCAGCCAGCTCTCCCCCATACAGCCCTTGCTCTGGGCGCAGAGAGACCCCGGTGCTCTCCCTATGCCTCTGTTCACACAGCCGGCCCAGACTCCCCCACCCCCCCCCAGCCCATCTCCAGGCCATCCTTCAAGGATTCATCTGCCACCAACCCCAGGTGACACACCGCAGCCAAGGCAAGGACAGACTGCCAACTGAAGGGACTCGGACCTAAGAGCATGCTCACAGGGGCCGGGCCTCGAGGGGCAGGACTGCCACGTCCAGAGACAGTGGAGCCCAGGCAGAGGAAATACAAGAAACAAAGGCTCTGGTAACAAAAGCAGGATACATCTAGAGGCTGGGAAGGCCTACTGAGCTCAGACAATGGCTGGGCCCTGTGCTGGGGCCAGGCTGCGGGGGAGGGGGGCACTGGAGCCCGAATGGCTTCCTTCTCCAGCTCAACGGAGGGCTCTGTGACCTTGGGCAAGGCTCCTTCCTTCCCTGGGCCTCAGTTTCCTCACCTACTGGGGAAGACAACACTGCCTCCCACGAGGACTTAGCGAGAAGTAGGTGGTGGACGGGGGGGGGGGGGG